CCCCTCAAATTAAATGTAATTTAATTTCGGTTTCCAATTCTTGTAAAGATAACCTAATGTATGTGGAATTTTTTCCTCATTCTTTTCTTGTTAAGGACCTAGCAACGCGGACACCGCCGGTGCACGACCGGAGTAGACATGGGTTGTATGAGTGGCCTACTATTTCTTCATCACCTTCCCCACAAGCTCACATGGCATCCTAACATGACTCCCTTGAAACATGGCATCGCGAACTTGGACATCCTCATGCTAGAATTTTAAAATTTCTTTTAACTAATTTTTCCATTCCCGTTTTCGCGTGAGACAAATTTCATTTTTTGTAATTCCCGTTTATCAAATAAATCTCATCGACAACCATTTGCGAGCCTTACTTTATCCAATTCCAAACCTCTTCAAATAATTTTCAGCGATTTATGGGGACCCTCTCCAGCTTCTTTCACTTGACAAAAAATTATATTATTGCATATTTGTTTATCAATACACGAAATACACTTGGATTTACACTCTACAAACCAAAAGTGAAGTAAAAGGAATTTTTCAAAAATTTCATTCTTTAATGGAAAAATATTTTCATTCTTGAATATTATCCTTTTACATTGATGGAGGTGGTGAGTTTCGAGTCTAAATTCATATCTAACTTCTAATGGTATAGAACATTTAATTACTCCTCCCTACACTCCGTAAAGAGTCGCTACCGTCGAACGTCGTCACCGTCACATCATAGAAACAATCGAACCTTACTATATGAAGCCTCACTTCCATCTCATCTTTGGTCATTTGCTTGTCACCATGCGGTATATCTCATAAATCGTTTACCAACCTCCATCCTAAATAATAAATCTCCTTTTGAAATGTTGTTCCAAGAAAAGCCCGATTATCATTCTTTAAAAATCTTTGGGTGCTTTTGTTATCCATGGCTTAAGCCATATTCTCAAAACAAGCTTAAACCGAGATCCACACCTTATGTGTACTTGGGCTTCTCTCTCACTCACCATTTTCATCAATGCTTTGACCCTCTCAAGTCTAAAGTTTATTTGTCTCGTGATGTGATTTTTGTAGAAAATGTGTTTCCCTTCAAAATCATGTTTTCAAAACTTCCCAATAAATTTAAAAATCTAGCATAAGATGACTTGTCCTCACGTCACCTACACCAACCCTCACAAATGTCCACTCACCCATCCGTCCAAATACCCACTTTCATATTAGATCCGCCAAATCCCGTTCCTCGTAGCTCTCACACCAATTTCGGATCCGCTTAACCCCAATCCAATGTCATCTTCGTTACCCCGCACCTTGCTATTACCTTCGACATTGGATCGAGTCACTCCTCAACCCCACAACAGCCTCCTGTCGTTCCCCAACAGACAATTGCTCCAGCAGACTTGCTCATCACTTCCACACACGCTTCGCCGCCTCGCCCCCTCCCGCCACCACCGACCCCCATTTATCCGCACCTCAAATGCCCTTATCCCCACCATCTCGCACCTCATCTCAACCACCACCCACACCACTTTTAGTCTACTCTAGGCGCCTTCCCCTAAATCCACCCCCTTCGACCTTAGGTCCATCCTCTCGCAACCACTACTCTTCCCGCTTCACAACTAGCAAACCAAAGTGCTCCCCAATCCTCCTCTCAAGGTGTGGTTACACGTTCTCAAAATCACATTCATAAACCAAAAAGAATTTTTGACTACATGGCCCAAGTTCACACCGATGCCCTTCCCCACACCTTTCACTAAGCAAATAACAAACCGAGTGGCGTATAGCTATGAAAGCAGAGTTTGATGCATTAATTAAGAACCAAATGTGGGAGCTTGTATCACATGATCCATCTAACAATGTTGTGGCTTGCGGATGGTTATACGAGATTAAAAGGAAGTCGGATGGCACCATTAACCGCTACGAGGCCCGACTTGTAGCAAAGGGCTTCACCCAAAGGCTCGGGGTCGACTACCACTCAACGTTCGACCCGGTCGTTAAGCCAATGACAATTCGAGTGGTTTTGTCTCTTGTTGTTCAATATAATTGGCTAATCCGCCGACTTGATGTTAATAACGCTTTCCTTCGAGGCCATCTTGATGAAGAAGTCTATATGACTCAACCTTTGGGCTTTGAAAATCCTCTCGTATCCCTCTCATATTTGTAGACTCGAAGGCTATCTATGGTCTCAAGTAGGCCCTCGTGCTCGGTATAATGAACTCAAAGCTTATCTTTGTTCCATGGGCTTCTTCAAATCCGAGTACGATAGCTCTCTGTTCATCAAACATGCTTCGTTATCACCGTCTATATTCTAGTTTATGTGGACGACATTATCGTCACCTGGTCGTGATAACATGGTGGTTCAACGAGTTATCTCTTCCCTTGCCAATCGTTTTTTCATCAAAGACCTTGGCCATCTCCATTACTTTCTTGGTGTTAAAGTCTTAAGTCGTCCAAATTGTCTTTTCCTCGCCTCAAACTCGATATATTACCGAAGTTCTTCAATCCGAAAATATGTATAATTGTAATCCCGCCAAGACACCTATGAGCTCCTCCGAGCAGTATTGTGTTTCGATGGCTCTGCACTCGCAGATGCTACCAAATACGGACAAGTTGTTGGCAAACTCCAATATCTCGGTTTCACAAGGTCGGATATATCCTACTCCGTAAATAAGCTCTCACAATTTATGCATGCTCCCTCCGAACTACACTCGGAATGCGGTTAAAAGGATCCTCGAGTATCTCAAAGGCACCATGAACTATGATCTCTCGCTTAAGGAAAAGTGCGACCTTAAATTTGGTAATGTTCTTTGATGCGGATTAGGCGGGAGATGTCAATGATCGCATCTGTACTATAGGTTATCTACAATTTCTTGGTCAAAATCCAATCGACTGGTCCTCCAGAAGCAAACAACTATAGCACGCTCGTCCATCGAGGCGAGTATCGTGTAGTTACTAGTGCTCTAGCTGAAACAACTTGGGTCAAAAATCTTCTCTTTGAGCTTGGCATTCCACTTCCCAAGTCGCCCATCATCTACTCGTGACAATATTGGGGTCACTTACCCGTGTGAAAATCCGAGTTTTTCATAGCCGAATGAAGCACTTGTCGTTAATTTTCACTATGTCGAAATCAAGTACAACGCAAGCTCCTTACTCGTTGCTCACATCCATGCCGCCGATCGACTTGCGGACTCGCTCACCAAAGCTTTGCCAAAGCCAACTTTTGATTGTAATCTTACCAAGTTAGTCGTTCCACTATGTCTAACTTGAGGGGGCATATCAGCACACACGTGTTATCCTCGACTTGCTTCGGTTATTATTTGACCATTTCCTTTATTTGATTTATTCTTCATTCTTTTCTTCCTTTATTTATGGGTTGTTACTAATTTGTTAAAGATTTGCTCCTATGATAAAGGAGTACCTTCTTGTATTTAAGTTTAGTTTTTCATTCAATAAAGGTATCCGACTCTGCAAACTTATTATGAAGAAGGGTAATGCCGCTTGTAAAGCTCTTTCGTTGAGTGCGCGATCATGATAGGACTCGAGGAAGAAGCCCCGGCTAACTCCGTGCAAGCAGCTGTGGTAAGATTTGGGGGGGGGGGGGGGGTCTTCTTCGGAATGACTGGGCGTATAGGGCCGCCTATATATTGTGAAATTTTTTTTGCTATATTTATGCAAAAATTTATTGCTGCGGATATCTATATCATGTTCAAATGGGAACAAAATGCCAAATTTGGTGAACATAAAAGAAAAATTGATGATGTATGTATGCAAACCTTGGGGGTCGGTTGACCTGAAAAGAATTTGCCTACGCGCTTTTGAATAAATGCCTACATTATTTTACTTTTTATTCTGCATTCATGACTATAGAAATTGAGTTCGAAAATTGTGTATTAATAAGCTCATAATGCATAATCATGTCTCTTGCTCACCCTATTATTTTCAATGAACATACATGAAGTTCTTCTAAGTGAATTCCTTAATAATTCTGCATAAATATAGGTCTGTAGATTTTTCAGAAATATTATGCAAGAATTGGGCAAAACGCCCACATTATCAAAAACTATAATTGATCTCAACCTCGAGCTATCAACAACAACCCAACACATATTAGACACATTTCAAGAATCTAAATAAACACTAGATGATGGGGAGAATTAACAAAGTCCATCTCAAGAATCAAACCCAAGAAAAATACAGTAAAAAAAAAAAAGTTCAAATCACAATGTAGTCCTTAATATATTATAGTAAGAAAAGTTCAAATCACAAGTAATATAGTCCTTAAAATATTATAGTTCCATTAATAAAATTAAAAACTAAAATATACATGACATGTGATTGAGGTACTCATATCAAATTATACTTTTCTCTTCTCTTCTCTTCTAGTTGCTTTTTAGCTTCCTCAAGAGACTTGCTTTTCTCCTCTCTTCGATTTGTTTTTCTACGTTCATAAGAGACTGACTTTCTCTTTTTTTCAGATTGTTGTTCGATTTTGCTGGGAGAAAGAATGGCTTTCAATTTTTTGCAGCCACTGCTAAAACCTTAATTCCGCTTTTTCCTTTTTCTTAACTAATCCAAGTCAGCTTATAAGGTTATATTTTTAAGTCCATCACCTGCCACAAGTTACTCCTTTGAGTATTATAAAATTTCAGAAAATTGCATACCAATTACCATGCACAAGAAACTGAAACGGAAATCGTGTGAGCTACAATGGCAGCCAAATAATTTCTGAAAATAAGTCCAATCATAATTACTTTGATAAAACAAATTGACAGCAACCATGGAGGTATGTGTTGTAACACTGTCCACATAACATTGTAGGCAAATACATATTTATTATCTATCATTTGTATAATCAATGATGTCAATAGAGAAGGAAATTGCAGTATCTACAACTTTCATGAGCAAACAATCACTCATCAGCACTATAGAATTTGGTTTCATGGTAAGGGCACTATCCAAGTTACACCCTCATCAGTATCATCCCTACATATATATGATCACAACGTTTGCCAATCAAGTTATGCACAAGATTCTGCATACAACGTTCCCACGAAGGTCAACCAGACTTTGGTTCTGCCTTCTGCATATAATTTGCGGTTGTGCCCCAAACACAAACATACGAGTGAGTAACAAAGAGTTAGTACCTGTCCATGGAGACTCAGATGAAGACCTATAAGCCTTGAGAATCATTTGGGTTCTCATTTTAACAGAAGATGATCCATTTTGATTGGTTGTAACTTCCCCAGGTATCTGCCACAGCTTAGAATAAGACGCAGAAAGGTTTTGGTCTTTATAAATCCCTTCCAATCTCTCTGAAGGGATGCCATTTTTCTTTCTATCTGCATTAAGCTCCTGATCTTCATCATTTTTTGTAATTCTCTCCATTTCACCCAGCAAACCAATGGCACGCCATGCATCTGCTATTAGCTGCATGGTGCTCTTCTTAGGAGAGATACCCTTCTCTTCCATAACTTGCAGCAGTTCTTCTGCTTTCCATGGCTGCTTTGCTTCACCATATCCCCATATCAAGGTCTCATAGGTTTTCAAATTGGGGGAAACGCCAATTTCACACATTTTCTCGTAAACCTTCATTGCATGCTCCATTTTTCCAGCACTGCACCATCCACTGATGATGGTGGTGCAGATTACAACATTTGGAAGCACGCCGGCTTTTCCCATGGAAGACAGGACTGACTCTGCCTTCTCGGGTTCTCCTGCTCGCACATAACCCTTTGCAAGGATACTGAATGCATGAATGTCCGGTTCTATTTCTGCCTTCGCCATATCATTGAAGATCTCTTTGCATTTGTCCATACGCCCAGCTGAACTCCATGCATTCATGATTGTGCTAAATGTTACAACATCTGGCCTTATCCCATATTCTTCCATCAATGTCAGTACCTGTTGAACATGGGACAATTCCAGAAATTAGGAAAGGATATTTCTTTAGGGGTGGTGTTCGGTATCAGAGACATGAAATTACCTCATCAACTCCTTCGGTATCCATGGTATCGAGAAATCCTTTGATGAGAGAATTGAAAACAAAGAGATTAGGAAGCACTCCAAGCTCCTTCATTCTGTACACAAACCTTGAAGCTTCAACCATATTACCTTCTTTGCAATAGCCATTGACAATGATGCCGCAAGTACGCACATTGGGTGATACTCTCTTGTTCAGCATTTCCAGTATCATTTCTTCAGCCCTGCTTGTCTCTCCTTTCTCTGCGTAAGCCCTTGCTAGTATGTTGTATGTGACAACATCTGGTTGCATGCCAGATGCCACCATCTTGTACACCATGTTCCAAGCTTCTTCCATGTTTTCCTTGTTACACCAGGCTCTAACAAGAATATTATATGTCCTTTGACTTGGTTTCACGCTTCCATCCTGCAAAATTAACCCCAGTAATTTCAAAGCTTCTTCCGGCTTGCCAGCATTCCCATATCCTTTGATAAGGGTGTTAAATGTGCTCATTGTGGGCTTACATCCACTCTCCTTCATTTTCTGGAAGAGTTTCATGGCATCCTTCATATTTCCAGATTCAGAAAATGCATTGATTAAGGAATTGAAGAGTATAGAATCAGGTTTCATGCCATTTTCTTCCACTTTAGAGATGAGTCGGAGTATGGACTTAAAATGTTTTTGCCGAGTCAAGGAAGCTACAAGGGTTGTGTATGTTATAAGAGTTGGCCTGTGACCCTCGTCTATTAAATTGTTGAAAACAGAATGGGCTTCTCGAGGCTTCCCTCTCCCAATCAAAACATTCATCAATTTTGTTCTTGAACGAACTATCCTGCAGCAGTTGTTGCCCAAACAGATAGGGCAGCAGGATTGTGTTCGTGAATCTACAAATGATGAAACTGTTTGAAATTGGTCCTTCCCTAGCAGATTCGGTTCCTGTCAAATTGAAATCAATCAAAAGTTGGTTGGCACCATGTATATGAATGAACATGGACTCCCAATACTGTAATTTCTGAGCTGTGAAGCAAGCAAACTTTATACAATCTCGATAAATTTGACTAATGATTGACTAATATCAACAACAGGTATTTGGATATAATTTTGAAAGAAAGGGCACGTATATGCAGGCCAGCCAAAGTATATGTAGACACCAATTTTACATTTTCAGTCCCTGCCAATGCTTGTAACGATAAGTCAATGAATATGCAAATTACGTGTTTACTCCTTACTCAACAATCAGAAAACTGCATAACAAAGTTTGACTCACAACTTGTTTAACTTAGACCAAAAAATAGAAGAGGAAGATAGGACATGAATTGATCCAAATGTTAAGAAGAATAATTAGTCAACTAGCTGCCATTGTCACCCATCCTTGCAATATGTCACAGACTCCAATTATTTAATTGCACAATACTACTATACAGATTCAGATAACTAAATTTAAAGGTTGAAATCTCCATTTACAACTTTCTCTAAACCACTCACAATATGAGCCTTTCATCTGATGGCATAAATAAAATCCAGGGATTGTTCTGTATTAATGACGAGAGCATGTGCTGAAGTCCCACCTATTCGCAGGCCTTTCTTTGTGGAAATAAGGAAACACATGAGAACAGCACGAAGAATAAGGCAATAAAACAAAAGGAGAAAAGATGGGAGCTTTTGAAAATGTATGTACAAGGCAAAAGCCACTTTGTGAAGCAAGTCACTATTGCATTTCTTAAAAACCATTGTACATGATTGTTACAGATTGCAACTGAAGCGATTAAACCATCCATCAAAAGAGAAATTGAACAAGTAAAAGAACAATAAGGTGTATTTGTACCAGAACTGCTGATGCTTCAACCCTCGTTCTTCTTGTGATTGTCCCATCTTCCCTCTTACCCATGACATTAACCAAAACTCTATAAAATCTACCTCCTTTCCTCCCACTCTCTTAACAAACAACCTTTCTGCCTTTAATGGATTCCAATCCAAACTACCACACCGTACACAGAAGCCAATGACCTTATCCTCTTCTGGACAAATCCTAAAAACATAAATCTTAACATCAATAATTTTAGTCATTAAATGAATGAGCGCACTGAGAGAAGACAGTCACATTAAACAGCAATAACTTGTCAAAGGTCCAATAAGCAGTACCAGGTTAGCAAAACCAGACATGAAGGGGAGATTAATTCTGCAACTATACTAGATACAATCTAAGGAATTAACTTTTCAAAGTTCGAATCAGTATCTAGCAGGAAAAGTCAAAACCTACCTTAAGCACCATTATGAATACCTAATTACTCAAAAGTTACGAACAATTAGTCGAAAATACAATTCACCTAACTTGACACGTAGGCGTAGGGATGCATTTTGCTTTCACTAATTAAATTCACTTAAATTTTAAGACAAATTTTCTGCTATACCAACCTAGCTATGTGGAGCAATAGCATCAATGAAGTGTTAATTTGATTTCTGATAAGGAATCAATTGTAAAATAAGTAATTGTACTAATGTCGAACGCCAATCACTCAAGAATCACCAACAAATACAATCTTGAGCGACTGAAAACAAAACCCAACTCACAACTTCCACTGATCAGATTAATTTCATGCACATCACGTAGATAGTAAATATTAATGGGAAGTTCTATATATAAAGTTGAAACTTGGTAGAGCTAAGTTACAGAATCATAAATCACTAGTTCACAATATACAACAATGTCTGTCACTGAAAAGGCAAAAAACAACACAGTACCAGGAGAAATCTAAGGAGTCAACTAATTGCCGGAACCTACCTCTTCAGTTGGGGAGTTGCGAAAGATGGAGAGACAAAAGGGGTTGAATTTGCATGGTTAGTTCGACACTCGGACATGCAGCAGTTCATGAAGTAGCGGAAACAGGCTTGTTGTTTAGTGGCATGTGTTTGTGCTGTGGCATCCGCCACGGATTCTTATCCACAAATATTATCAGAGACAGATTCTTAGGATAATATTTTGAGGCTGTAAAGTACTTTGATGCCAAACTCATGAATAGTTTGTTTAGGTGGAGGACAATTTTCCACGCCCCATTTTCTACAAATGATCAAAATTAAAACACTGATACTGTGGAATTAATATCTTCCTCTCTTTTTTTCCGAGTTTTTTTTTTCTTTTAACCTTATTTCTTATAATAGTATTGTTTTAAATTTATTTCTCATTATAAGATACTATATGACACATAAGAATAGTTTTAATTAAATACAATGACATATCAGTGTTATTTTTTTTCCTAAAAAATTAACCTATTCTCTCTTTATTAAAAAAAAAAAAAAAAAATCTCTTTAGTGTTTTTTCCAAAGAGAAGACTGTTATCAGTCTCTGCCAAAAAAACCAACTACTTGGCATGACTCTCTACAAAATTCAAAGAGGACATAATCAATTCTTTGGAATCTGATTATGAGGCAGCATATCATATCAGTGCTTAGAACAACTAGTAAAAGTATCAGTATTTACCACTTTTACAGTTAAAAGCGACACCCCATTATCAGCCAGTTCATCTTCATACAAGACTACGTGTGGAATGAAACAGATTATTTCATCATGACACACCATAAGTACCAGGAAGAGAAAATGGATATCAAATTTTATGAATCCATGCTCAACCTCGTCATAGAAAAGAATAGGCTCTTTTGATGCAAGTGCAAGCCACATCAATTTGCTCTTCACAGTCTTCCCAACAGGGGATGCAGCTAGCCTCCAAAATTTCCCCACTGTCTTTCTGGTCATAAAACCAAGGATATGATAGCAAAATTTCCTTTAAAAAAAAAAAATAATAACATGAGGATAGCCATTTTTTATATTTAACAAAAGCTTAATTACACCATATTTGAGCCAGCTGATGTTTGCTATTTATCAACGGTCAATCTCAGCCATGGTTAAAATATATATATATTTTTTTAAATCCAAGTCATTTCATAGTCTTCACAGTTTACCCAAACAACCTAAAAGGAAATATGAATCAGGAACGTTTTGAAGCCATTGTGCTTTTAATGATGGAGCAAACCCTGTTGTTCTTCGACAAATCTGCTGGAGAGAAGCCACCTTTCAAGCTCCGGTTGCTGTAACCTCTCTCCTCCCCTCAAAATTAAGTAAATAAAAACAAAAAAATTTAGAAAATATCTTAATTGAAAATATTCATATGTTAAAAGAATTTTTCTAATAATTATAATTTTGAATTATGAGAGTATTTGTGTTTTAAGAAATTAAGGTAAAGACAATAAAAAAGAGACAAAGAAAGCGTAAATTGAATTTTTTTTTTAATGTTTCTAATTTTTAAAATTATTATATTAAATATATATTATAACACTTAATTAAAAAGATGACATGGATGCCTACATGGTAAAAGTATCCTTTTTTTATAAATAAGATTTAAAATATCTTATTTTGAAAAAATAGATTAAAAACATCCTATTTAAGAAAAAAAACTCTTTTTTTTCCCTTTCTTGTTAGGGAGATTTAATAATTTAGCAATAATAATAATATCTTTTTTTTTTCTCATGCAAAGGTTGACAAGTATTTGAGCTGTGTTATGGCTAATGAGCATGGAGATCTTTTTCTTTGTTAAATATTTTCGTCATATGGTTAGTAGAGAACGTGATAGGCTAGCATTTGGTAGAGGAGAAAAGAAATTACTTTTTTCTTTCTACCGGATGAACCATAGCTTAGTGAAATGTTACCCACACTTGTGGGTAACTGTCAATCATTTCAATTCTTTTATCATCTTTTCTTATGGGGTAAAAAAAAAAAACGAGTTCTACAAGTGATATCATATGCTCCTTCAAAAGTCTAGTTTAATTAAAAAGGGTTCATTTTTATATGGCTAAATGGGTAAAAATCATCTAAATTGTAATCCTTTTGAACATCAATTATTGAATTTTTAATTTTGAGTTTGACCTTCTTTGAACTTTATTTTTTATTTTTTTAGATTTTTTATATATTGTGCTTTCTTATTTCAACATGTAAAAGAAAAATGTACTATGAATGAATTGGGCCTTATACTCAAGATTTTCAATTTTGATTAATGAAAATTTTGACACCTTTCTTTAAAATTTATGGCTGATTCTTAGTATGCAACCTCCCATAAATGCACTAATAATCGAGTGGTGATGCCTCTTGATAATGATGATGCTTATTGAACTCGATAATCTTTGCCTTATGACACGAAATACTGCGAATGCTAGGGAAAAAAAAATCAAGTAAGCCTATTAGTTACTTTAATCCTTTGACATGAAATGATTTATTTCGAATGGTATGTATCTATGAAGGGAATGATCACCCTAGATTCATGTACTTCAAAGAAATCTATGATGAGATCGTTTTCTCCTTAGGAAGGAATTTTTTGAAGGTTACTAATGAAATCTAATTTTTGTCTTTAAACCAATAAAAGCAGTCTTCTTAAGATAAAGCTCGTTAGTGTTGGTGCCCAAGATCCAATGATGTTTGAATAAATTTGATTTATTATATTATTGCATCATTTATATTGTTTGTAATAAAAGACGTTTTTCTATTAATTTTTATAATTTACATTTATTCATTGATTAAAATTAGATATAAGTCTATACGATATGCATTTGCATAAGTGATTGATTGAAAGATGTGAAACAAACACTAATATAAATAAATGATATCATTAAATGTCTCAAGTCGTAGCACGATCAAGAATGGATATTGACTATACACGGTTAGACTTGTGAGTGTTATGCTCATGCTATATGATAACAATAGGAGATCTTACACCTATTGATATGATGATGTCAAAGCAAGCACTTAGGTGATTTATGTTAGAGAACATATTACTAGACTTGACTCACCATAAGAGCCCATTTGATTTAGTATATGGAAATCTCATAGAGATGGGTACAACTGGTCCTTAGACTTGAGGTCATCATGATTATCTCATTGGAGGATTTATGTACTATGACATTCGTTTCGATGGACCGAGTAAAGGGTTGCACGTGGATAATTTATTGGATACACTAGGAATGTAATGGAGGTAGGCGAATGACTAAGATAAGATATATCATTCTTTGTACTCTAAAGGAGTTATTATAGTGCATTTTGATGAATGTATATTCAAAAAATATATGGCTATAGTAGAAATATACCAATACGAGTGTAATTGGTTTACTCTAAGAGCTAAGACATTTAGAAATCGAAAAAATTTGTGTGATCGTGATCGAACAAGACTAATAACCAAGTTTGAGATCAAGTTGTGATAAGTTGATGTGAGGAATGAATTGTACTATAACCATACTCATGAAAAGTAATTACGGATTAATTAATCCTCCTAGAGAATTGGATAGTTATAATATCTTGTTAGAGACTAATCTTGACTTATGTATCAAGAGAGATAAAAAAAGGTGTCTTTTATTCTTAATATATTGCCAACATATCTAGGAGCCTATTGAGTTGCACGCATAAGTTTAAGTATTCACATGAGTAAAGAAAAGTAAAGATTTGGAAAAAAATTTCAATTATGAAAATTTTCTATTTTGGAAAAGTTTTCTAAAATGAAAGTTTCTTACGATAGAAGTTTCCTAAAATAGAAATTTTCCTATTTTAAAAATCAATTTCCTAATTTGGAAATTAGTTCCAAATTTGAAAGTAAATAAAGTTTTCTAGTTTAGGTTTAAGGGTAATTTAGAAAATTGTTTCTTAATGTAGGCTTCTTAAAATTATCTAACTTAATTTATTTGGATAGTCCAAATTAATTAATTAAGCTAAAATAGTTTTAGGCTAATAGGTTTAATTAAAAGCATAAAAGATATTTTGGTGGAAGGATAAACATGAACCTTATTGGATAAGGATTAATGTTTTACAAATAAAGATTAAAAAAATCCACATGCAAAATAACTCCTAATCCTTGAAGGATTAGGAAGCAACAACCTAGAGTCCCTTTGTATGGGAGAGAAAAAATTCGACAAAGAGAAAAAAATAGCTAAGGGCATATAACTCAAAAATAAAAAAATAAAAATGGAAAATTTGTTTTCTCCTTAAACCTAACATGCCACCTTCTCTATCTCTCTTTGAGTTGTCGCAAATATTACCCCGATTAGATTTTTATAGAAAAAACTAAATAAGTTAGAATAGGTGGAGCTAGCACTCTAAAAATTTTAAATGCTTCTTTTATAGATGTTTG